AGCAGTCATTTAAATTCTGCTGCTTTCTCAGGAAGGGAATTCGTTATAAATTATATTTGGTAGCATCTACTAATTCATTCATTCTCCTTCAAATGCCAGCTATAGCCTGATCCTGTGTGAGCGTTCATGAAAAATACTTTCCATTTAAGCACTGAGACTCTAAGACTCTGCAGTGAAAATAATTGAATTGTTGATTTTATTTTCTAAAAAAAATAATTATGTTGAAAACAGCACATTCCCATGCAATGTTTCCACCTTGATTAAATTATACACTTTCCACTGGAACAAAAATAATCCATTTTCTGCTCTCTATTTATGGAAATATCAGCCCATCTTCCTGAAGTTTCTCTGCAGTTCAAACAAGGGCAGTTTGCACTTTGCACCAATCAGCTGTTTACTGCCTTAAAAATTTGGGCTTCTATATAATGAGTCACCAGGTATGGGAGATTCAAAGATCATTTCCTGGGTCCTAACTAAGGGACCACTTAAACTGTGCTTAACTTCATTGTTAGAGTATATTTAAATGCTTCTCCGGGTTGGAGATCACCAGTTTAGACCACAACTTGACATTCAGTGGACAGCAAATTTCAGTGCAAATGTCATCATGCAAAAAGCAAATGTACATACTCTGGAGTGACATTTCATGTGACAGCTAGTTAGGAACTTCAGCTGATGGGTGGTGAGCATGGGTTAAAACTAAGGACACTGTGGACTTTGCACTGCCTGCTTCCAGGATTTTAGTACTTGTTTCATCTTTATTAAGTAGCCTCATTGTTTTGAAGAACAATAAATTGTTACAATTAAATCTTCTTTGCAGTTATCTTGTTTGGGAAGTTCTTTATGGATCACAGTGTTTCCTGAAATTACACTGTGCAAATATTATTACTTGTGAGCTGAAGTTATGCTTAGTGAGTAAACCAAATATATGCACAAATAAATAAACAACCTTCACTGAGCAACTTGTTTCCGAATACATTTGGACATACCCATTAATTTGGCCTTCTGCTGGCACCAAACAATGATTTCACCACCTCAATAACATACAAAAAAGGAGCAAATGAGAACAGAGTCCCTGGGTTTGAGTGAAGATTGTACAGAGTAGCATTTGACTACAAGGCCACAACATCAGATCATGGTCCTGGCAAAGACTGGAATTTCTTTGAAATTAATGACTGCCAGTGCTGAGACTTTCTTTAGGATGACTTTTACCAGAGTTTGTCTCTCTAGTTTCAAGTGGAATATTAAGGAGATACTCTTTCTACCAATATTGGCTCAAAAGATTACTGACAGATGGAACTCACTGCAGAAGGTCTCCACCTTACACTGGCAAGTTGAAAAGAACGGTAAATCAAAAAAGGCAGATAGAACTTTGCTTTGAGCCACTTCAGTGGCTAAACCTGAGCCCTTGGTCCTGGCTTTGCTGTGTGATCAGCCAGTTCTGGACATTCCAAGGAGCAAAAGGCCTCAGCACTCCTTAGGCACCTCATAAAAACACCCGTATTCTTAAGCAGAACTTGAAATACCTTCTAAGAAAAGTTTTCACCACGGCTAGTTGAGTGAAGTTGTTCAGAAACATCCACATGGTTCTCATCTTGTAAGTGCAGGGTAACAGGTAGTAAAAATCATAAAAAATTACGCTTTTGCATCTGCTGAGTTCCTAAAATTGCCTAATTGCAAAACTAGTTACAAAATGAAGAGGGAGAAAGTTAAGGAGAACCACCATAAACTCTAAAATCAACACTGACACAAACAACGTAGCAGGTGTCATATCAGATAAAAAAACTTGTGATTGCATATCACAATGTGACTTCATTAAAAGTGCAAACAAATTTAAGCCTTAAGTTATGAAATTGACTTTAATTTGTCTTCAAAATGACATCTAAAAATTTCAGAAAGTGTTGGCAGAAAAAAAAACTAAAGACAACTGTAAAGAAGCTCTATCTTTTTGTAAATATATCATCAAAACTGAAATAAGCCTCAGGTTGAAAATCATAAATAAGATCTGGTTTCTAATTAATTGGGTAAAATTAGGTAATTAGGTAAAAATTTATTCATGGTACCTTGAGTTTGAAAGAAAAAAGCACATAACTAAGTGGAGAAAAACCACTTTACCTGCTGTGCTCAGAAGAATTCATGCTGTTTATATGTTCAAAGGTGCCTATGTTTTCAATGTGAATCACGTTAGAAATGGGAAATCTTTATTTCTAAGTAAAAGATACCAAGGGTCCAGTGCAATCACTGACCTTCTGATCATTCATACCAGTTAACTCTGGGGTCACTGCCTTGCAAGCTCTGTTTTGGGCTGTTCCAATCAGATATTTCCAACACAGATCTGCTGCCGAGGGACTAGTCCTTAGCATGAGACATTCAGGCCATTCCCCTGAACTTAGCTGCAGTGTCCCCTCGGTTTTCTTTTACTGAGCCCCACAGGCACAGCCTGGGTACCCTGCTTTTACAGCCTCAGCCCTGCTGCCCTGCCCTCGGACTTCTAGCACAGCACCCCACACACCACACCTCTGCTGCAGCTACTTTTCAAGGACACATCAAAGGGTTTTCTTCAAAGAGTGATCAGAACACGCAGGCTACACCAATCAAGATCGTACAGCGCAGGAATGCTGCTACATGCTAGTTTGGCTTGGGAAAGTTGAGCCACGGGAAAGTTTCCAGTGCTTTTGTTTTGATATATTTTGCTTTGTTTTAATCAAATTAAGCTACAATAGCAAAGTTCAAGTTTCACAGCATAAACAGTGGGGTTGCTTCAGCTCATTTCCATGAGTTGCACCATGTTATCCTTTTGATAATCTGATTTTGAGAGCTAAAACTTTTCTCTCTGACTGTTTTCTCTCTTAGGTAAATTCCACACATCTGAATACAACGATCATCCTAGTACAGTTCTAGATATGAGACTTCATTATTAAACATTACCAAGGTATTTAATCTCTGTTTGACAAACAAAGAATATTAGAAAAGATAAACTGGAGTATCTGAGCCACACAAGGGTCTAAAGAGGTTTATTAGATAAAAGATCAACAGGAATTTAACTCCTAACCCCAAAAGATAAAAGCAAATTGCGTCTGTTGGCATTTCAGCTGGATTTTTTTTCCCCAGATTTCTCTACAGGTTAAGAAAAAAAAATTTGGAAACAGTGACTCCTTAAACAAACTGCGCAGAGATTTATATCTATTTGCAGAAATATTAGTTCTCAGTGGGGTTGTCTGCATTCAACATTTTCTATATTATTAAATGGTTCAGAGTTGCCAGATTCTGTTAAGTTACTCTAAATTTCTTTTTTTGCTCAAGTATATATTTTATTTCTGTTGATGGGGAAATCTGATTCTTTTAACTTTCTGGGCTACAAATTCATAAGCGACAGTCAGACATGAACAAAATTTCTCTCTCTCTTCAGCACACTCAATAAACAGAAACATGGAAATGATACTTCAAATGTAAGCAGAGAATACTGATGTTAAAGTGTTGTTTCAAAAACTGCCAGGAAGAAACAATTAAATTCATAGGTATTCAACACAGAAAACTGAGAAAGGAGACTGAATTTATCTATCTTCAGTGAGAGAACTTGGCACACATTAAAAGGCCAGCAAAACCAAACTCATGAAATAGGATTCCTCTAGATGGAACTCTCGAATTTGAAAGATGACAGTCATGTAACAAAAGCATCAAAACTTAGGAAATTATTCTCTTCCTCCACTGATTATTTCTCCTTCTGAAACACCTCCTTAGAGTAAAATGAGTGTATCTCACCTACTCAGTTCAGGGCGTGATGAGATACACCTCTCCTGTGCAGAAGACTTGAATTCAAAGGACTTGAATAATGCAGTAAAATAAATAAAATGATGAGTACAATAGAGGTTTTGACAGGTGTAGAGAGCTCTGTATCTGTTTAGTTCCTTTTAGAGTAGCATTAAAGCTGCTAAATGAGGATTTCAGATTTGACTCAGCTCTTGCCACTGAACTTCCTGCTAAGACTTGCAAACCTGCCTGGACTACTAACAGGATTCTTTTTATAATATTCTTTTAATTATTCTGTAAGTGAAATAATTATATGAAAATACTTGTGAAGTTAATGGGCAACAGAAAATCAAACTCACTTACGTAGAACATGTGTTTTTTTTAATATTAAGTACTGACACAGCCATAGAAGAATATTCTGCAGCAATTTCATCAGCAGCATCAGAATAGCTCTGCAACAACCTTTCAGACAAGTGTGATATTTTTTGAAACTAATCATTAAAACATAGTGGAGTAGAAAAAAAAAAAACAAAGTAAGTATCTACAGATCTAAGTGGTATCCTTCAGCTTCAGAAAAACACAAAGACACCAGCAGTAACACTCAGACCCAACAATTATATGAATTATATGCAACAAGAACACAAGTAGAGATGAAGCAGAAGTGCTAAAACGACAAAGAGCTTTGCAGGATAATACACCCCATCTGAAGCACTTGCAAGGTAAAACAAAATACTACATGGCAGCTGCTCCTAAAGCCTCTGCACTCACACTGAGGAACCAGGTACCAGCTGGATGTCAGGGCCTTGAACCCTTCACCAACACTGCAAGGACAGGAGCTGCCACAACCAGGATCTCTGCACTCCAGCACAGCACACGCTGCGGAAATAATAGAGACACATCAGAAAGCACAATGTGCTAACAGGTACTGAATGTTGACCTCTGCCAGTGACTGTGCAGTTTTTATTCTTCGCATTTTTAGCTCCGCATCTTGACTGCTGAAAAACACGTTTTCTTGAAGCTATCTTTGAAAACACACAGAGAAATCTTGCCTGGCAGAGAGCGTAACGTGCGTGACCTACTGTGGTGCACAGAAGCAGGCACTGTACTGTCTCATAGCTGCTTGCTTCTGGCTGTTCCTAGAGGTACCAGGTATCCTCTAGATCCCCTACTGCATATGTAACACATTTATCTTCAAAAGATTGCTTTTCTCATTGAATCTCTCACAGCAGCTACTATAAAGTCCTAGGACTTACAAGCATCTGGAGATGCCAATGGCCAGATAAGCTCCATGCATGGGCCATGGTCCTGGAGCTGCTTTTCCCCATGCAGGGCTGCAGAGAATATCCCAGTTCCTGCAGTCAGTGAAACACACACCTCATATGTAACTCACAGCAAAACTTAAAAACTACCAAAATACATGCACAACATCATTTCAAAGACACCCCTGCACAGCACATGCTGTGATACCGCCCCAGCCCGGAGGCAGCCCAAAGCACAGTCCCTGAGAGGAGCAAAGTGCCACGTGTAGGATTATTGCTCCAACGAGTGAAAAAAAAAAAAAACTGCATGCAGGAGAAAATGATGCAGCAGACCCAAAATATATTAACTGATCCAACTCTTTTTCTGACATGAGCAGTAGGGAGGACCGAGGCCACCTACATCCCTCTGAGGTGCAACAGAGACATCTGTTACTGCTGCCGGAGGAAACCATCCCTGCCCATGGGTCCCACCGTGCACCCTGGCACAGCAACTGGTCCAAGCTCTGGTACAAGCCTAGGCAGAGTGTGGGGTGGGCCCTGGATGGCACTGATCCAGCCTTGGGTGCTCAGCAGATGCTCCTGAGCCAGCAGGTGCCCAGCCAAGTACTGTGCAAGGTCTATGACTACCTGCGACCCACAGCGGGTGACGGGGGTGGGGATAGCTGTTCAGAAGGCATTTTGTAATTACAACTGTGTGTCTCATATACAGCAGCCAGATGCTTGGGGGGAGAGGGAGGGGAAGAGCTATAAATCTATAAATAAGTAATGGAGTGTTGGGCTATGAAATTCATAGATTAACACGGGAGAAACTCTCTCGGCGGCTGCATTAACGCCAGCACAGTGTGCAGCTGTTTATCGCTCTGAAACAGCTCCTGCCTCTCGCCACGAAGGCTGTGAGGTGCTTGTCTGGCCTCCTGTATGTTTTCCTCGTGTTCACCTCCAGCCATAAAGAATTAACTCATCACTGAAACTGCATAATCAGGATCTCAGGCTCCACTAACACCTGCTTAAATAATATGACTGTGCCTCATGTGACACCAGCCTCTCCAGTTTCAGAGTGCACCTTGGTCCTCACTGCCTGTCTGAGAAGTTTTGGGGGAACAAGTGACACAAGGGACCACCTCAAACCTATTTCTTCTCCCATGCTGAGCCCACCCTTGGCATCAGAGACCCCAGGTCACAGCAACATTTCATGCACTTGAGACAGGTCTGTCAGAGGATTTACTGGTCTTGGAGAATGCTATGAGCCACTCCTGTTGTCAAGAAAGGACTGATCCAAACCTGCAGCCCTTCCAGATATTGCTTTTAGGGGAGGAATTAAAAACTCCTTAAAGAAAGCAGCACACAGCTCTACATAGTGCAGGCTCAGCAGGTGCTGGTACTGCGCATCCTGGACCACCCTGCAGAGCCACATCCAACTCCCCAAAGCTTCCTTCCCCTCTGTCCCCACCGCCTAAGGTACCACTGAGACTGCAGGTATTCCTGGGGCAGCTGCTCACCCTGGTGGGTAGCTCCAAGCCTGTTTCTAACCCCTCTCAGGCAGGAACAAGGTGCTCTTCACCTTGCTCTGCTGCCCAGCTCAACACAAGACCTTCCCCTAGGTTTCCCTGCCAAGGTCAGACTCCACGGGGTTTGAGATCTTGCACTGTACAAGAAAGGTCCCTCTCTGCCCAGCACCTCAATCCTACAGCTTCTCTCCATCTGTATTCATCCAGTCCCTTATCCATCTTTTAGTGCTTCTCTGACTGATTATCATCTCCCATCACAGAAGTATCTATGTGCTTTGTAGTTAGTCACTTTATTCCTCTGCCAAGGATGCTCTCAAGCTCCTGCCACCAGAAGCACCCTGTGTTCTCGTCATGCCACAGATCTTTAAATGCAGTAGTTACACATTACTTAGGCTGCACATATTTATTCCTAAAATAGCACAGGCGTCTCTACAGACCTTCACTGGGCCTTTGATGCACTTCAGGCATCTTGCCTTCCAGTCTATTATTCAGCGGCACAACTAAAATAATTGGTACTTTCTAAGACTTGACTTTGTTTTCAGACTCCTAACAGAGTAAATGGTCAGGTGTGATACAGAGCTCAGAGGAAGCTGGAAGAAAAGAGAATACACAAGTATGTTAGGAATTAAGCTAGTTCTTGTTGCTTGCCTCTGTAGAGGGGTGTAAGGCCTGCAGAGGAGAAAATCATAAATGGTACCATTCTGAAAGCGGGTGAGGAAGGTGAATGAATAGGAATAATGTGAGTCAAAGCCCACATAACCTGTGGAGCTCCTGAGGCAGGATTCGTTTCCCTCAAAGCAGTAGGTAAAATCCCTGGAGATTCCTGCCTCGAGCAGACCAGCAGGGAAGTCCACGTGCGATGTATGCAAGACAAATTTTGTTCCAGGTGCTCTGCTTGGGTGCTGCCTGATCTTGGGCAGGAGACTTCTGCCAGGATGCACAAGGCACCCAGACAGGAGTCACTGAGATATCCAGGCTGTCCAGGTGGAGCACTCTCCATATTCAACCACAGTCCTTAAATCCCGGTTGCCCACAGCACGTACATGTAATTCATTTCCTCTGGTCTTTGCCATGGGGCAACTTAGTCCTCTGAACAGGGAAATCTGAGTATAGCTGGGAGGCTGGAGCTGGTGGGGACTGACATCTCAGAGTACATGCACACTAAATATGATGCTTTTGCCCTGCTCCACTTCTGCAGGAGCACCTCAGCAAGGCCCTCATCCCGCTATAGCCCCACACACACACTGTACCTCAGTTCTGTGGCTTGACAAACATCTGTGCTAACACCAGGCTGCCAAACAGCAATCTCATTTGCTTCTAGAATTTCTATCTACATGTGGCATGTGCACAGTATTTGAGATCAACATCTGGTGAGGGCAGGGACCTGCTTCTTTGTGGGTACCACATTTATGAAAATGGATTTGTAGGTGGGAAAACGTGTTCTTAAAAAATGCAGGTATCCTGGACTCATGGGATGTGCTTTGCTAGGAGTATCCTCCACCTGGGCAAGAGGGCCCTGGCATATCAGTGAGGAATATCTTGTGATGTACCTGTTGTCACCATTTTCAAGTGCCCTTCCACTGCTACCAGAGCACAGGTGGCTCAGGGTTAACTGTTTATTAATTAAATAGAAGAAAGTCAATACATATCTTTTTAGTGCAGTCAAGATTTGACCTATTATAACTTAGAGAGACACCATTAAAACACTGAAGAGGACACTGAACACTAAAGAGACACTAAAATACTAAAGACACACAATTAAAACACTGAAGTGGAAAACCACAAAATCTTTGCTAAAAAAGACCCATGGTGTGAAATAGGATGCACTGGTTGAGATGAGCAGACTATCAGTAAGGTCACCCAGTCAGAACTGCCTTGGAATGATCTCTTGTGTGATCCCACTGAAATAAGCAGGGTTGAACTGGCTTACAAATCAGGACAGCAGGATGCCCACTTCTGGCTGTCAATGTTGCAAACTAAATTTGATGAACACAGCCAGAAATGTCTAAGAGTTTAGTTTAAAATGTTACAGAGAACTCTAGAGATGGTGAGGCAAATGTTCATGCTGGTTACTCCAGTAAACCCAGAGCACTTCTGTTTATGTAGTGAATTTTTCCTCAAGTTTAAACTATCAGAACTGAAACAGAGTTCGGAATGAGAGATCCAGCTTTGCCCATGGCTGGGAGATGGCTGAAGTCAGGAAGTTTTTGCTGAAGTCAGATCAGTTAGGTGCTGGGTGAGGCCATAGGATGGTTTCTTGACCACTTGGCACTCAGTAATACCTGAAGCAGAAAATGTTCAATTTTTAAATAATTTTTAAAAAGGAAATTAAAAAAAAAAAAAAGAGGAATAAATAATAACTCTAGAGGCATTCTCCTGTTTTATTAGGTGTAAATCAGATGTGATATTAAATCCATATGGTAAAGGTTAACATGTAAGAAGTATTGCATATTGATCGCTGCACTTTAGAATTGGAACATTTTCCATTAACATTTTCTCAGCTTCACAACAGGCAGCCACACAGATACAGAATGTCTAAGAAATAACCACAGCAGTAAATGCTAATGCAAGTTTTATAAAGATAATAATGCCTTATTTATATTTGTGATGATAGCAAGCAACAGAGATCCTTAATAGCAGCATCAATTCCTTCAAAAACAAGGAAAAACTAACATCAGAAAAAGAAACTGTGTAGATCTGCCAATAAAATCACATAGCTGATAGTAAAATGATTCAAAAGCAGAAGAAAATGCAACATCAATATAAAATATATTAATTAGTACCTTTTCCATTCCATTGCACGTGTGTCAGACTCCACTGCTTGCAAAGGCAGGAAAGCTTGTGGTATCAGGGCTCCAGACTCTGAAGCTCATCTTTCTATGACTGAGCAATTGTCCCTGAAGGCCACTAAATTAAACAGAGGGAGACAGAATGGTAACATTTTTTTCCCAAGGACATAAGTGGATTATAAGATTAGACATCTCCCTGACACTCCTCTCAGTGCAACTGTAGCAGCCTGCTCCCCCCTTATCTCCGAATGTTAACATCCCAAACCTTCCAAAATACCTCCCCAGCAGGCAAACCTTTGGTGGTGACCCTGCACACTGGCAGGAGTGGGCTTTGAACCCCCCTCAGCCCCTTCAAGGTCGATGCCTCTCATGGCAGGCAGCAGTGCTTGGTTCCCATCTCTGGGAATCACTCCTGCTGGTCCCTGGCTCTGGGAATTACCCCACTGTCAGATCCTCCATCCTTGGTCTCGTGCAGGGGTACCTATGTTGATTTGCATCTGATTTGCATTTCAGGGACATGCCTGGATAAATGCAAATCTTTGGGACTGTGAGTAGCGAGTACAACGGGCAAGGAAGGAATGGGCCAGTGAAACCACAGGCAGCAGGTCAGCCTGGACCTGGATTTGGGCACAATCCTACACACACAACCCATGTTGGTCCTGGTCAACGGCATGTGCTCCACAACACCCCAAAATCTGGGCACCTCTGTGGCCCACCAAGTAGCCAGGGAACAGAGATGCTTTCTGAGCTGCGGAGAACACAGGGATGGTTGGTGCTCCACAGGGAGCCAAGCTGAGGATTTACACTGCAGCATAAGAGCAAACTCTATTTTGTTCTATGCTTCTCTGCCAGCAGTTCCAGGCAGACTCTCTTCTTTTTACCTCTTGGCTGCTGCTGAACACTACTGTTTTCATAAAACTGCCAGTTACAGCCCAAGCTCTTTCCTGAGCAGTAAGTTAGGTCAGACCCTGTTGTTGTGCTTTTGAAAGAAAAATCTCTTTTCGGAGAAAATCTCCATTTATCCTTCTTTCTACCCATCAGCACCAAATTTCCCCTGCTGTTCCACTACATGGTCATTCAGTGTCACAAAGTCCCTCTGCCACTCTGCAGACAGCTTTCATTTGCCCTGCCCTCAGTTACTCAGTGCCATCAGCCAGAGATGATGTTATTTTGGCAAGTTATCTGAAACGTTTTCTTGTAACCATCAAAAAAAAAAAGAAAATCATTCTGTCAAATAAACAATCCCACTTCTGTGAGCACACCACTCCAATTAATGGAGGTTAATTGTCTATAACAAATAACCATTCAGTGTATTCATTACACTAATGAGATTTCCTTTTTAGAGGATTTATGAGTTGAAAAATACAGTTCTGTTCACTCAGCTTTTAACTGCAGGAAGGAAATGTGCTTGAATTTGGGAAAATCTTTCATTCCAAGAGAAAATGACAAACTGCTCTTAAAAGAAAATGGATATTCACCCACAGTTGACACTTAGATGTACCTGAGCAAAAGACCAGAAGAACTGCTTTCAAATGCATTAGTTTATTAAGTTTTATGTAATATAAACATGTGATACCACAGTTGCACCCACTTTTTATATTGACCATAAAGATTTTTTAAAGCATAACTGACCCTAATGAAGCAATGTCTTCCCATGTCACCAGCAGGTTGCCATCAGAGAGCTAAAGTTACCTGGTTTTAACAGCAATGTGCTGGAAAGCCAGTGGAAAGTAACAGGTAAGATATTCCCGTTCTCTTAGTTTAAAGATTTCACAAAATATTTAAAATATTTTGGCTAATTAAACACCCTTAAAAGGAGTGTATCACTGAAGACAATGACACTGAATCTGGCATGGCTACGAGCCTGATCACCACGTGCTGTTAATTTACAATTAGGCTGTGTATTGCTGTTCTGTTCTCCACTCATACCCATGTTTTCAATGCAGACGATACCCCAAGCAAGAACCTAGTGTTTTCAACCTTTCTAAAAGTATATTTAAAGTAGCCTATAAGAAAATAATAATAAATTTTCATACAGGGATATTAGCAAGCCCTTAAAAAAGGAAAGCAAATACACTGGCTATCATCATTGTATCAGCAGTACTGTGACAAGCAGGATCAGGACAGCGACTGTCCCCCTGTGCTGGGCACTGGTGAGGCCATACCTTGAATCCTGGGTTCACTTTTAGGCTCCTCATGACAAGAAAGACCTTTAGGTGCTGGAGCGTGTCCAGGGAATGGCAATGGAGCAGGGGAGGGGTCCGGAACACAAGTCTGGCCTCAAGTTGTGCCAGGGGAGGTTTAGATTTTACAAGGGAAAAACTTCTCCACTGAAAGGCAGTCAATCACCAGAACAGGCTGCCCTGAGAAGTGTTGGAATCACAATCCCTGGAAGTGCTCAAACAGATGTGTAGATGGGGTACTTGGAAACGTGATTTAGTGGTGAGCCTGGCAGCATTAGGTTAATGGTTGGACTCAATGACCTCAGAGCTTTTTCCAACCTAAATTATCCAATGATTCTACATCCCTAAGCCCACCCACAGTGTTTTCACATCCTTTGAGCATTTTTCCAACTCTCACCTCTCTTGCACAAATGTTTGTGCAGATCAGTGTATGCCACATACGAACCCACTTTCATAAACAACTCTGTGCCTGACCAGGTGTTTGTTCTGCGAAGTCCTATAAAGACATTTTATCCAAGACAATTCAGACTAAGAAATTTGTAAAGTGACCACAGTGGTAACATCATCATCATCATCATCATCATGGTTGGGCTTCGTGAACAAAGATTTGAGAAAGGTTCTACCCACGCTTGCTACAAGCGCGCTGATGGCTAAAAAGGCCAGTGGTAACAACTTTTAGTCTTATGCACATGATTTTAGTATTTACCTGGCATTGGTTTAGGTTGTGCTTGCCCTCACATCTGGGTCAAACTCCACCTTGAAGGCGAGTTCCTCCAGTGAGGTTGTACACATGCAAGTGGACATGTAATCATCACTTGTTAAAGATGTGTACAAGCTACATGATGCTTTTTGAGGGAAGTGCTCTGCAGTACTCGGAGTGATTTCAATTCAGTGATAAAAGTAGTGTCTTTAACTTTCAGGAGAGGTTTAGCAGTGGGGACTGAAAAATAGCACAGGCCACAGGGCAAAGAATGGTGCACAAATGTTTATAAGAGCGCCTACTTAAAGGTAAAAACTCACTTTCGTTGTATGTGCAGGTTCATTTCTCATTTCGTCTGTGTGTGCAGAATAGATCATTAAGAGCAGAGTCGTTAGTTATGAAAATATTTGACTGCAACTAATAAGATGCTAAACTGAATGAGATGTGATGGGAAACACATCTCTTGGCATGGATTCCACCACTGCTTCATTTGGACTGGAGAAAGCAAATACCAGCTTCAATTCAACTATTTTGCTCCAGCAAAAACTGCTGTGGCCTTATTCATTCTGTTCAATTTGCCTTCTTTTCATGTCTCACATACAGCTCCTCCTCCGTGAATAGAGAGAAGGGCCAGATGCCCTCTGTCAATTGAATGATGCCATGGTATTTTTACCAAATATAAGTTCCAACGTGCTGTTCCAGACCATTCTGATGCAGAAATAGACCTAAATATAATCCAGTTCTTTCAGCTCCCCTTCCAAAGTCTCCCAATTAGTCCCATAAACAGCCAGTAAAACAAATATGGAACATTACTGTATCTGAACTCGTACTGACAGATTACATTCTGAAGGCCTGACACAGCCCTGCGTAGTTTTTCAGAGGTACCACTTCCACATCAAACCTTGATCGTGTGCCTTGGATATGCAACACTTTCTGGGTCAATGGGGTTATGAACATTTTATTAATGTCAATTAAACAGCAAGAGTAGAAAAGGCATAAGATGCTCCAAAAATGAAATATTTAGTAAGAGTAAATTAAAAAGGAGAAAAAAAAAAAAAAAGGTAAAATAAAAAAAATGAAAACAATCTCACTTGATGAGGTGATACTGCTTTAATCAGCAAATTGCAATCTTGTTTCAGACTGAAGATTGTTGCCACCAAGAGTGTTAGAACAAACTAAATGATCTAACACTTATTTAAAATGCTCCAACACCAGCAGGTTTATTATAATATAATAGAGTAGTAGAGCAATTACACTCTGAGATTAATATTTATAGAACATAATCAGGTTTTCCTTATTTAAAATTTTATTCAATAATTTGTGTGCCTTAAAAGCATCTTCAAAGCTGAAATAAGGTTTGAAATAGGTCTTTGAGAAAAGGTTGGAAAACCCTGGCAGGAGCCTGGAACAATGTTCACTGCTCCCAGGACACCACAGGTGGTGTGGTCCCAGCAAGTCTCGCACTTCAGGACTGAGGATATCCCTCTCTGACTTGAAGGAATACCCACAGGAGAGGTTAGGGGATGAGTTATAAAATGTCATGAATTAGGTGCTATGAAAGGGATTTGCAACGTTGCCTGGGACAATGGTCATTCTGTGGTAGGAAACACAAAAAAAACAACAGGGGTCAGATGCAGAAGCTCACCAGGTGAGGAAAGAAAAGGGTATTTTTCCAATCTGAAAGACTGTGACTGTGGCATACCAAAAATCTCTGTGAAGCCAGAGCCTCCAATAATTAACTGGCCTGTGACACAAAGATCCAGTGACACAGGTCTCCAGGTTTCTTTCCTCCTGGCTGGTACCTCTCTCAAGCAGGAGCTGTTGGTCACCATGAGTACATTATGCATGTTCTGCACAAAGCCCAGCTGAGACCAGCCTGGGCAAAGGTCTCTGTGGGCTATTGCAACACAAATTGTGTGCAATAATGACTATTATTTCTAGAATATAGTTAAAAGGTAGCATTGGAGCACTTAAACTACTTACTTTTAACATGTGAAAGGTATATGTCATGATGCCCTTATCTGAGTCGGAGAAGAACTGCCCAGATTAGAGAGAGGTGGAGTTACCCAGTAACAAAACCCTTACACCCACAGCACAGGGGATGTCTGCTTTCCATCAGCAGGAACTGACAGTATTTTAAGGTGTTAATTGTTAGTACTGCCAATTCTGAGCTCAACGTCTTCTGCTGTAACAAGCCCTGCTTC